TACATGAAATGTCTGGTTAGATATTTTACAGTTTTTCCCTGTATATAGTACGGGAACTTACTGTTAACCTATTAACAGTTTTTTTCCGTAGTGTTTTTACAAAATGTTACAGTTAAAATTACACTTATTTTTTACAGTGTGCACACACACAAAATATTATCAAATTTCTCTCCTTGCTCTACAGCTCATAGATCACTGTCTCTTTCACCTGCTGAGAACACAGACACCTGCAGACACACAGAAATGCATGTTTGGGGAGGAAGTGTTACATCGCTACATTCATTTGCATCTCAATAGACACATCAGCAAACAACTTTACTGTTTGGATAATGTCCAATATCATATGCTCAGAGGAAAAAAATCCAGCACATTGCTGCTATTTGCAAAACCAGCAAATAAGATACATCATAGATACTCTTTTTCTCCCTATAATTTAAAGAGTCCTACACACAACCAAGAATAGTTCACCTAAAAATGAGAATGTATGCTGAATACACTTTTCTACAGCATAAACCATAGAAACACTATATATAGTATTATGTGTTGTATTCCAAGTCTGCCGAAGCTATATGATAAAACCTCATTGCTGGTCTTGTTTGGGTTAAAAATGATGCCACACTGTGACAGGTCTGACATCATTGACACTGGTTTTTGAATGTGTTGCATAAGAACACATTATGTAAGCTGGAAAATGAAACTGGAAAACTGCAGTGAAGGACAATATTTTCTATTAAATAACGCTACAATTCATCTGTTCTTCACACAAAGCTATTGTATGGCATCTGAAAACTTGTTATATAGTTATATGCACTAATAATTCTGACATTTTTTGGAGCTTGACAACACTAAAAACTGTCAATGTATAGAAAAGCATGAACACACTAAAAAATCCCTCTATTGTGTTACATGAAAAAAATAACAGCACATAGATTTGGACTGCCATGAGTGAGAGTAAAAAAATAGAATTTAACTCTACAAAGGGAGACTATTTGTACATATCCACTTCTATAGACACTTGGGAATACAAACCATGTGAAATTAGTACAACCTGCCAAAGCATCTGATTCATTACCAGTGTTCCCTGGTAACCGACGAAGGCATCAGCAAATTAGATTAGCTCCAGTGCGATGACAGATACAGCCACATCAGTCACAAACCTTCATTTGTTCTGAGGTATTTTCATTATATCTGGAAGGTTGGCGGTTTGCTATGCTGTTGGACCTCACGCGCACACACACATATTCACAAGAATAGGATTACATGCACAAATAGTGAAATACCCAACCACCTCCTTGGTGCTCTGTTGACAAACTACACCTCAGCAGAGCTGGACAAACACACAGCTGTTTACTCATCTCTGAGATAATCTCATATGTAGGGCATCAGTCTTTCCAACCTGTAATCTTCAACTCCCCTGGTCAGGCACCTACACAGAACACCTGCAGCTGAAACTCCATCTGCTCTCTAACCCTAATCAGAAACATTCACCTTAAAGTCAACTTATAGGTCAAATATGCTGCACTGGTAAACCATAATCAATCTAAATTTCCGCCCACCATTGTTATGTAACTCAACAATAGAATGTATTATGCAAAACACAAGCACAGCTCAAACTCTTACGATTTAAATTCACAAGCAAAGAGACTATGTTTACTACAAAATACACTTACAGCTATAAAAACAGCAAAGATCCAAACGCAACTTAAACAGTAATAAAAAATACGCAACAATTATTTATTTTTAATCCATACAATACAATTGGACTGGACATTTCAATTGCATGTGCGGTTGTGTCACATATCAGAATGTGAGTGTTTCCTGCAAAAATGAACACAGGACAAGTTGTTATGTCTGATTCATGAACAAATTACAGATATACTCACATCACTCAGGAGTAGAAACAAATTCCAAACAGCCTGCAACAGTATAATATTTGCATTAAGACACCGCCCGCTATGGTTCTTTTGAATGAAGAGGTTATTTTTTAATGAATGAATCAGAGGTCCCACTTTATATTAAGTGGCCTTAACTACTATGTACATACATAAAAAAAAATAAGTACAATGTACTTATTGTGTTCATTTTGTATTGCATAACACTTTTGCTGCTATTGAGGTGGGATATGGGTAAGGTTAGGGACTGGTTTGGTGGTATGGGTAGGTTTATGGGTGGGTTAAGGTGTAAGGGATGGGTCAACAGTGTAATTATAAATGTATATATATATATGAGGCCCAATTGAGACTGGAACTTTAGACTGTGTGGGCAAACCTACACAGGAACTCACACTTTTACTTTTATTTATTTATTTATTTTATAAGACACACACACAAAAAAGGGTCATTAGAGTGATGCCATTAAATTCGCCCACATTTTTACTACATACAAATAGAAAACACCCTAGTAGTCTATAAAACCTAAATTATCATAGTCTACCTACTAAAACAAGCCTTCATCACAGCACAAAGCAGTGACTGTAACTGAAGTAAGAAACTCACTCTGTGAACTAAAGCATTTCAGAACAACCATCTTTATTATGAGAACCACTGCATTTCTAAATCTGAAAGTAATTTGGCTCCTTAATGTTTCATTTAAGGAGCCAGTGACTCCCTAGTCATTTCTTTTGTCTGGAAGTGTGAATAAGATCGTTCTCTGCATTTCACAGCCAGTGCGAAAAGCAGCTCACGACACTCTGTAACAGCTCTCTGTAATAGTACACCTCCAGAGCCGAAACACTGAACCAAGAACATAATGATACACTCATAACACTGTGAGTCATGACCTGGGAAGGATTTCACTCCTGGGAGTGCTAAACGAATGTAAGCACTGTCTGTGACCGATCCACACTGTACTATTACTATAACACAAGCAGAAAATTGATAATAGAACATCACTGACTATAATACAAGAAGAAATTGCATTACAAACTGGGATACATTACTACTATACTGCCAGCAGAGATCTCTCTGGAGCTTTCCTTCTCATAAAGCAACTATCATGGTCCCAAGTGTGCAGTAAAGCTTTATTACTACCTATTTGCTAACACCTCTGTGCAAAATATCACAACAAATGTAATCTTTTTCTGCATACAATGGCTTCAGAAACAAAGTTTCTGATTCATGTGAAATGCTACACTTGCAATGTAAAGGATGTACAAGTTGTAAGTGATTTGTGGGTAAGCAATAAAGCATTACTCTTGAGAGGCTGACAGCACTTATTGCACACCATGCAATGCAATTTTTAATTTAGCTACAAGACCTCAACACTGCAAACTCTGACAATACACTTCCACATGAGCAGAGTACCTGTCATTATCTAATAAGACGGAGAAGTTAGCTGCTTCAGCGCACTGCAAGAAAAAGCTCTTAAGAAGCACTGAATTTCCGAGCGGATGAAAATGCTTTAGAGAGAATCAATCCCATAGGTCATTGTACTCATATGATGAGGGTTTATGTATCAGTTACCCTGAAAATCAGCGTTAAAAAGACCTTTCTTCTTATGTCTAGTCTATTTTTCTGATTTTTAGCAACTAACTCAATCAGTGCAAGCCAAAACAAATATTTCCTAAACATTTTTCTTTTCAAAAGACCTCACTGTCTCTTTCCTCCCCCTGTATCTGCCCATCCCACGGGTACCTTAAGCAGGCGCACAGACGGAAGGAAGGCTGCATGGCACAGTTTCCGTATGGTCCAGTTGAGTGGCCGAGGAGCATCCAGCTGGTTCATCGCTCCTGGCCGGACGTTCCCGCCATCCGGAAAAGGGCCCCACATTGGGGCGGCGATGCGCGAGGGGTCTCTGTCCGAAATCCACTTAACTCATGAAGCATGACCCTCCTCAGCCCCTGCCGCAAAGCCACGCAACCTGTTTCCCCCGACACAGAGCTCTTCACCTGCACCCCCTCCCTGCCCTCCCTCCCCTCCCCACAGATCCACCAGATCGGGAAAACACCTTCAGGGTGTCCGGGTCCACTTCCACTGGCCACACAGACCCAACAGTGCCAGAGATGACTGGGAGCATGCGGTCTGAATGAGTGGAGAGGAGCAGAGAGAAGAGATGAGGAGCGAAGCTGAGTGGAAGAGAGGAGAGTGGGAAACAGTAGCTGTGATGTAGAGCAGCAGAGCGGCACTGTCTTGAAAAACCCGGAGAGAGAGAGGGGGGGGGGAGAGGAAAGAAAGAGATGGATGGAAGGAAGC